AATAATTATTAATAATAAAATTATAAGAAATTGATAAAATTATAGTATATACTTGCTTCAAATAACTGATATAATATAAATTCTGAATAATTACAGTAGAAATTATATGTTGTTGTGCTCTAAAATTTTATACATATAGGAAATAGTATAAATACTAACTTATTATATATTTATTAGATTGATATTATATCTAAAATTTAGGATTGATAGATACTTAAACTTTTATAATCAAAATTATATATTTGTTAATTGATTAACAATACGAAGCTAAATTTTTGCATCTATATTTCAAGGGACTGAAAATGAAACTCATGGATATAGCTAAAGGAATTGGCTATTTTAAAGTTTGATAGTTTTTTGAATCAGAAGATGGAAAAAAATAATAAATTTAAGTAATAAATCAAAAAATAGTTGAAAGTGCAAAATGAACTCAAATAAAGATAATACAATTACTAAGCTTGTAGAGAAAGAAGCTAACTAGTTATAAAATATAACAAAAAATTAAAAAAACAAAAGATTGAGATTAGTATGAATACTATTAATCAATATATTAAGAAAGCTGAAGGAAAATATAGTAATAAATTGTTTAAACTCTTATTTATCAAAAAATCCCAATAAAAAAAATTAGAATAGACATTAAAATATCAAAATTTTAACTGAAATATTGTTATTTTTTCAAACAAGAGTATCTTTTGTTTATACTTATTTATAAAAAAAGTATAACAGTTTCTTGGAAAAAAAAAGATATTCTGTAATATAAAGTATCCATTAAAAGTAAATATTTGGAACTGTTTTTCAATATTAGGTTTTGATAAGTTAGTTTGCTTTCAATAGAATCTCAATATTGAATTTATAATTACTATTTATAAGAGAGGTCTTTTACCTTCTATCTCAATACTTTTAATAATAAAAAATTGTAATAAATTTTGCAAGAAAACAATAATTCTAAATATTGTTCAAAATTGATATACAAATAGAAGAAGAATAATAAAATCAAGGTTTTGTTCTGGCCAGCAATATAACCTGATTAAAATTCTATTAAAAATATTTGACAATTGATAAAAATAAAGATATCAAAAAAAAAATCAATATACAGTGGATTGCCAAAAGTTTATGGACACTTTTTAAAACTTAGTAAAAAATTTTTTTATATGATAGAATATTTATATGTTAACTATATTTAAAATTTTACTTAAATAATCAATATTTTGTTGGTTCTCCTTTAGCTGCAATACAAGCCATAATGCGACGTGACATATTTTTGATTAATCGTTGACAATCTTCTAGACTTATTTCATTCCAATATCTTTTAACATGTTGCTTGAGTTCTGTTAAGTTTTGAGGTTAGGTGTAACTTTTTTAAGATGACGTTTCATCGTATGTCAAAGATTTTCAATAAGGTTAAGATCTGGGCTTTGTGAAGGCCAGTTCATAACCCTAACATTTTTTTTAGCAAGAAACTTTTTTGTGATTTTTGCGATGTGTGGTCTTGCATTGTCATGTTGAAACTAAGGCCGACCTGCATCAATCCAATTCGACATGGAAAAATCATAAAGAGTTAACAAAAGATTCTCATCAAGAGTTTCAATATAGGATTTTCCTAAAAAAACAATAAAAAAAAAATTCATTCATTTTTTTTTTTTTTCATTTTTTTCTTTTTGTTTTTCTTACCTGTAACTGATGTGTCAAGAGAAATAAGAGGGTCAGTACTAAACCACGAGAAACACTCCCAATGCATTCGATTCAGACTATAGTTAACTGTAGCAGAAAGACAATCAACATCCCACTCCTTATATGAAGTACACCATATATGGCTTTTGCTTCCTTGTTGAAATTGAGAGAATATCGATTCGTCACTTCAGATTGATTACCTTTTTGAAGTCATAAATAGATCAATATTTACACTCAAGACACCAGGTAAGCCTTTCTTCAATATTCTTTTCAGAGACAAGTGGTTTAGGATAGGCAATGTGAGATTTTAACTTCTCATGATGTAAAGTTTGACGAATCATCCTTTCAGATACTTTAATTTTTGTTTTTAATGTAAAAAGGTTTGTTAATTCTGCATTGCACAAAAACCAATTTTTTTATTAGTGACAAGTTTTTTAAGAGTGATACAGGTACGATTGTTGAGGAGTCATGGTTGTCCAGTTCGGGGTCATAGTTCCATAGATCCAGTTTTAATAAACTTGTTTATAATGTTACCCATGACTGATTTTTTATATTCGACATGAGCTGCAATAGTATGATATGAATCTTTTCTTTGAAAACCATAAATTATAGCCAATTTTTATTTGGGTATTAGTTCTTTTCTCATGCTTATATTAGCGATTACACAAAATTTAGAGAGAAAAATATAAGATAAATAAAAAAAATTTTTTAATTGGAAATATTAAATAAATATATAATTACATTTTTATAAAAAAATTAATTATAATATAACTTGTGGATCTATAGTATAGTGGTTAGTGCTCTACAGGTCAGATCATAAGATACCAATTCAATTCCATGTGAAGATGGTTAAATAGAATTAATATGGTATCTGACATCATAACTAATTATATACTGTTTCTCATAAGAAGCCATTTCACATGCTGATATAATAAGTATTGAGATTATGATCTTCTCATTAAAGGCATAGTGGTGGGATGATCATCCAGATGGTGTTACAATGATCATCTATGAAAGGAGCCATAGAACTACTCATATATTTGGATATGTAGACTGGGCTATACTCTATTTTAACTAATCCCAAGCTGCTAATCCCTTTGTTGTAAACTACCAAATAAGAAAGCTTTGAAGAAAGTACTAAATAACACTGAAGTCTTGTGTGATATGACATGCCATATGGTTTATACTTGTAGAAATTGTGCCTTGCTTGTCACTTATGCCCTAGATTTGGCAGTTAACACTAACTGGTTCCAAACTGAAGTATCTACTAGGAGATAAAGGACTTTGGGGAGACTTGTGTAGTATGGTTTTGTATAATTCTTAGGAGTCATGTTTCACTTGGTCACAAGAGCCCTTAGATTTGGTAGCTAACATCAACCAGTGGACCAAAACCAGAGCATTTATTAGGGAGTACAAGCATCACGTTATCGGGATTTTCTCTACCACAGGATGAAGGTGCAAAGAGAAATAATATAACAAATAACTTAGGAAATAGTCAGCAACATCGACTGCCCTTATATAAAAATTGAACTAATAGGTTGGATGGTTTAAAACTAGTAGTAGGATTTCCATCTCCTAGATAGGTTTCCCTCAAAAAATACAAATTCACTTCAAGAGTATTATTAGTATTGCTGGGATATTAAAAATAGGATAGGTTAGTATTAAGCTATAATCTAGCATTACAGAAAATGTTTGATATAATTGTAATATTATATATATCAATAAACAATTGGCATCTAATGCCTGTTTTACTATAAAAAAAAATTAATTATAATTATCAAAATAAATATTGTACAATTAAAAAATAAAAATTGTCTATAAACTTTTGGCAATCCACTGTATATACAAATCAAATAAAGAAATAATATTTATCTATCAAAAAGAAAAAAAGAAAGAAAAAAACTAATTAAAAATATTTTATAAAAAAAATAATTGATATAAATAAAAAATATCAAAATTATAAATTATTAAATTATTATTTAATTTACAAATTAAGCTAATAATTATATTTGATAATAAAAAATTAAAATTTATAAATATGGGTAATTATTTTTGAAGGCAATTCGGAAATTTTCTGATATTACAATTGTGATCATTATATATGTATTGTTTAAAAGTAGGGTCTGAAAAATCATATTTAGCATTTTGTCATCTTTAAAAATAATAATTTATATCTATAACTTAATATATTAGTTTGTTAATGTTTTTTTTTTTTAAAATCCACAATCAGGCTGATGTTGTTTTATTTATTAAATGGATAATTATTTTTAAAGATGACAAAAATGCTAGATATGATTTTTTCGAATCCTACTTTTAAACAATATATGCATAATAATTACAATTGTAGTATCAGAAAATTTCTGGTCTGCCTTCGAAAATAATTATCCAAATAATAGAACCATTACAAATTAGTTTATTAATATTAAAAAAATTATAAATTGTTTTTTTATAAAGAAATTTTAAATTTTGATGCATTAAATATATTTTTATATTTAATTTTAACAAAAAGTAATTTAATGATTTGTTTCACGAGAATTTCATTACTTCTTTAAATTAACATTTTAATTTTCTGATTTACTCAATAAAAATTTATATAAATTTAAAAATAGCATTGATTATTGTAATAAGTTGATTGAAAGCATGCCAGAACAAATTAATTATGTTATCAAACTATATACTGTATATATAATTTGTAATACTTATAATCAATGCACAGTATTAAAGTTAAAAATGCATCACTTTTTGATAAGCCGTGATTATTATAATCGTTATTTTAAATTAACAACTGCTTAATTGTTTTTTTTTTGTTTATTGATTTAGCCGATTATATAAAAACTCGGAAATCTCTAAAATGTTTATATTCTTGTGTTTCCATAATAAGTTTTTTTTTAAAAGAATTTAATTGGATAATTGCGTTTGATTGTAAGCAACAAATTCATTCCCCTAATACATGCATACAAATGGTATATAGGAAATGGTAATATTCAACTGAAAGCGATACGTGGCGGTTAACGTCGGATAATTTAACGTATATGAAAATTCAAAGCCGCGAAACCAATATCATACACTTAGATGTAATGTGTAGAGTGCCTCTTATCTAAACGGTCATAGGAATTCATGCGGCGTATATACACTTGAAATGTCAATTGCTTTCCATTTTTGCATCATATATGCAATTGTGCTCGTAATTTATCCATAATTCAGGACCCAAACACGTTGGAAAATTCTGTCGAAGAAATCATTGTTTTACAAAATTGTGAATAAAAAGAAATAAATATAGCATTTACTTTTGATTCATTCTACATCTTTAAATTAACTGAATTATTGAAATGAAACTCTTCGAAGATGAAGCGAGAGAAATTTATGATGGAAACGACCTCAAGGAGTTAAATTCAATTTACATTAAAGATAGAATTATCGCGGAGAAATTAGGTAACGGCATGCACCCTGGAATAGTAAACACGCGAAAACATAATTAATATTTCTATTTTCTATTTGTTCTTACGCTTTCACGTTTAGAAAAGCTTATTCCAAAAGCTCACGAGCAAGTTCTCGAGAAGCATAAAGATCATACTGGACCTCAATTAGGTAAACAGAATTTTTTATAATCGAGAATATATTTTTTTGGTCAACTTTCATATTCTTCATACTACTTTCATATGTCTTTAACTTAAATATTTACTATTTGCACATATAAATGAATATCGCTTTATTAATTCAGAGTTGGTAACGAACCAGTTAGGTACCATAGGTTTCAAAGCTGACATTGAAGACATAAACTCGCTCGACCAATTGGTGGAGATTATGAAAAATTCAGCAGTCGAAAGGAAACATGTTAAAGCTGTCGGAACTTTCTCTTCTTTTGGGTAATTTAATTTTAAAACTGGTGCGTTCACAACGAACAATGTTTCATGCGTTATAAATTTATTATTTTGAATCAAGTCCAGTCACACAGACCAATGGGTACCTCTTGAAAACAGACCAATACATCGGAATCTCGAAAACTGATGTGAACATTATTAAAGAAGATGTGCAAAAGCAAGCAGAAAAAGATGATACCGTTTATTATGATGTGAAATGTGGTACACAACTTAAAGATGTAATTACGACCTTGAAGAAAGACGGGAGGGCACTATTTAACTTGAGTGGATGGGGTACGTATCTTGGAAATCGAGAGGACGAGGAAGATAGCTTTAATTTGTTAAAATACTAATCAACGATCTTCAAATAGGCGGTCAGCGTATAGTCGGGTAACTACCTTTATAATTAGTAAAAAGGTCTTCGCATTAGCGACTTATTTTTTTTATTCTAGTTTGAACTCGACATCCACACATGGAAGTGGCGTTACACTTCAACCGTTGTGTGGGGCTGTCGTTTCGGTAAACATGGTCGTCCCTGGTAAGTCATAGTCCATATCAATATTAAGTGGCAAAATCAAAGTCTTTCAAACACATTTTCTTCTGCCTCAAAGGTGGAAAACTCTATCGCATCGAACCAACAAAAGGAATTACAGACCCAACGAAATTCCATTCACAAAATCCAAACACAATCTTAATTCAGGATGATGAAACTTTTAACGCCTCTGTAGTCCACATCGGTGCTCTCGGGGTAGTTCATTATATCACCCTTATTACCGTTCCGTTATATCACATAATCGAAACCCGAGAGGAAGTCACCTGGGAACACACTAAATCTATTTTAAGTCAAAAACCCTATAATGATAATCCTTACCTTGGAAATAGAAATTGTGAAGTGTGGATTAGTCCATACACTGATTACGTTCTTGTTTCCAGACGTAATATTGCCGCCCAAGAGGATCAACAAAAACATCCAAAGTCGAAAGCGAATGAAATTTTAGGTGAATTCTTAAATTTGCCGGTAGTCGCTGCAACGGCAAAGATTCTGAGCATTGGTCTGGGAGGTGCCTTGTTCTTGTTATTAAATTTATTTCCCGCCACCGTACCGCTTATGATTGAGAGCGCCGTGAAAACTCAATATCATAAGGACCCTGTTGTTGATACTTATGATAATGTCTACATATTTAACAGTGGTGGTAAGTATTTTAAATGTATTCATACAGAAGACAAAATAAAAAGATATAACTTTTCTCCTTTAAACTTCATTTCATCCCTTATCCATCATCACACACAACGATTCAATCTTTATTTAGCGTTTATAAATGACTTCAAGGTTATGGCGATAGAATTTTCATTTCCTATGAAAGATAATGTATTCATAAAAGCTATGGATGCAATTTTAATAAAGCTTAAAGATTTGAGGAAGAAACATAATTTAACCATTAATGGACCAGCAGCGATGAGATTCTCGGCGGCTTCACCACAATATCTATCTATGGCCTATAGCGAAGATAATGACGAGCCTAGAGCATATGTCGAGATGCCTCTTCTTATATATGTAAGTGGCGTGAAAGTACACTATTTCAGTAATTCAACATTGTAGTATTGTTAATTCCAAATAAAAAAAATGTAGGACACTCGCATTGATTATTTTAGGCATCTCTATGATCCACTGGTTTCCGTTGCCCTCAAATACAACGGCAGATGCCACTGGGGACAATACCTTTCGGTTGACCTCGATCACAAATATCTCATTGACGCATTCTCTCCTAAAGCCGTGAAATCATTCTGCGAACAAATAAAGAAATTTGATCCGGATGGGTTAATGGGTAATGGGTTAACTAGAAAACTAGGATTGACCCCGGATGGTAAATGGTTTGCAAATGCTTTGGACGATTTTACCACTAGTGATAAGGGACATGTGTTTGAGTTTAGTAATGGTGAGAAATTTAAAGACAAATTGGAGAAATTTTTCAAGATTAAATAGGCACTAAGGTGGTAAATGTAAATTACATAACCCAAATTTATTGTCAAATAAATGTATATTCATTATTTTAAAATGAATAACTAAATTAATTATTGGATCGAGTGTGTTGATAATCTCTAATACTGTGTAGATTCAGATGTTGGGGCGAATAATAAAAATTCATTTAATTATTTAATTTTATTTCACCCTGATTTGCTGTGGTACAATTCAACTTTTTTTTTTTAAATATGATTATATATTAATCAGTAAATAATATTAATTTAACCTAATGATTTTATCAAAAATGTATTTAAGTATATATCGAAAAAAGATTTTTTTGTTTTGTTTTTAATGTATCAATTATAAAATATATAAATTTTGTAATATTTAAGATATACAATGTATAAATAAAAAAATTATAATTATTTTATAATTTATAATTTAATAAATAATTATTTAAATTAAATAGAAATTCTCTAATACAAAAAACCATATGCATAAGGTTTTGCATGGCTAAATCCTGGTTTTGCCCAATATAGATGGTCAAAAGTATATGCTAAACATGTGTTTTCCATCCTAAATATTTAATATTACTATTATTTCTACTCAAAAAGGATTTTCATAAAGTTGATCTTCTTATTTACTTTTTTAATTCCTATTTATATCAAAAATTATAATCAGCTTACTTCCTTCAAAATATTAATACAAGATAATCATACTATATTAGAAACAAGACCCTAATGTTGAAAAGATTCACAGGCTATACTATTATAAAAAACTAGTTTTTGGATCCAATATATTCAAAATCTAATTTTTCTAGTTATATCAAACAACTTATATCCTTTTTTCTAATAAGCATATATACTAGTTTATAATATAATTAATATTTAATCATTATTTATTCTTTTTCTTTTCTATATAAATTTTTAAAAGTCTATCACTAGTCAAAATAGTGCCATTCGGCATGCTGCCACTCGTCAAACATTCGGATACAACATTTGGCATAGTATTATTTGACAAAATTTCGGTATAATACTACTCGGCAATAATTCGGCATATGCCGATTTATAAAATAATATTTTATTTTTTGTAATAATTATAATAAA